GCCTGTAATTTTCTGTTTTTGTGTTGTCTTTGTCTGGTTTTGGTATCAAGGTGATGCTGACCTTTTAGAATGTGTTCAGAGATGTTCTTGCCACTGTAATTTTTTGGAATAGTTTGAAAAGGTAGGTGTTAGTCTTATTTAAGTATAAATATGTGTGTGTGTGTGTGTGTATGTATACAATTTTTTAAAGTTGATGATCTCTTAATTTTGAATAGGTTTTAACCACCCTTCATTTTTGCTACCTCAGTGTTTAATGTTTTTGACATCATATTTTACACCTTTTATTTGTGTATCCTTTAATTACTTATAATGGATATAGATGACTTACTACTTTTGTGTTTTAACCTTCCTACTAGCTTTAGACATAGATCTACTACCTTTACTGTATATTTGACTTTACCAATGAGATTTTTCCTTTCATAATTTTTAAAATTTGTAGTTATAGCCTTTTCTTTTCCACTTATTGATATCCCTTTACCTTTCCTGTAAAGCTGGTTTAGTGGTCCAGAATTCTTTCAGCTTTTGCTTATCTGTGAAACTTTTTATCTCTCCTTCAGATCTGAATGATAGTCTTGAAAGCTAGAGTATTTTTGGTTGTAGATTTTCCCCTCTTATCACTTTGCATATATGGTACCAATTCCTTCTGTCCTGAAAAGTCTGCTGCTAGTCTTATGAGAGTTCCCTTGTAGGTAACTGTTTGCTTTTCTCTTGCTATTTTTAATATTCTCTCTTTATCTTTAATGTTTTCCATTTTAATTACATTGTGTCTTGATGTGGACCTCCTTGGCTTGATACTATTTTAGATTCTATATGCTTCCTAGATGTCTGTTCATTTCTCAGTTTAGGGAAGTTTTCAGCTTATATGTCTTCAAATAAATTCTGCCCCTCTCTCTCTTTCTTCTTCTGTGACCCTTATAATGTGAACATTAATGTGCTTGATGTTTTCCTAGAAGTCTCTTAAATTGTCCTCACTTTTTAAAATTCTTTTTTATTTTTATTGGTCAGCCTGTGTGATTTCCACTACTCTGTCTTCCAGTTCACTCATCCTTTCCTCTTTATCATCTAATCTACTGTTGATTCTGTCAAATGTATTTTTTATTTCAGTTACTGTATTCTTCTGTTCTGTTTGGTTCTTCTTTATTTTTTTTCTTTTTGTTAAGCTCACTGTGTTCACTATTCCCTTCAGTTCACTGTGCATGTTTATGATCATTACCTTGAAACTTTTTTTAGGTAAAATACATGTTCATTTTGCTTAGCTCTTTTTCTGGAGTTTTATCTTGTTCTCTTGTTTCAAACATGTTCCTCTGTTTCCTTATTTTGTCTGATTCTCTGTTTAATGTCTATGTATTAGGTGGGTGTCCTTATCTTGGAGAAGTGGCCTTATATAGGAGATATCCTGCTGGGTCCAGAAGTACACTTCCCTCTCTTCACAGGAGCTATATGATGTAGGGTATGCCTTATGTGGGATGTGTGGGCCCTTCTGTTTTGGTAGGGCCTACTGTTGTAGGCACACTGATGGACATGGCTGACCCTTCACCTGGTTGGTTGGTAGGTCTTGTCTAGGGCTGAAGCTTCCACCCACTAGTGGGTGGGTCTGAGTCCCATGGTGGATGGCTGTGGGGCCCAGGGAGTCCTGGGACTGGTGCCTGCCCATTGGTGGGTGAGGTTGTGCCCTGGTCCTTGTGCTGGCCCACTGGTGGGCATGGCTGGGATACTAGTTGGCCTCTTATAGGGCCCAAAGTGGGTGTCCCAGTGTGTTTCAAGCTGCTGCTAGGCTAAGCTGGGGCCTGGGAGCTAGTGTCAGCCTGCTCTTTAGCAGGGCTGGATCCTGTGTTGTCTGGTTTCAGGGCACGGTGTCTCAGTGCTGGTTTCAGCACACTGGTGAGCAGTATTAGAGCCCCATGTGTCCTGGGGCTGGTTCCTTCTTGCTAAGGAGTGAGGCCAGTTCCTGGGGCGTGTGCTGGCCCACTGGTGGGTAGGGCTGGGTCCTGTGCCCTCTATTGGAAGGGGCTAGGTCCTGGAATTGCTGAGTGGTCCAGGGGGACCTATGGCTGCTGCTAGCCTGTTGGTGGGTAGAGCTGTATCCCTGTGTGGCTGGCTGCTTGGCTTGCAGTGTCCCAGGACTGGTGCCACTTTGCTGTTGGTTGGGACCATGTCTGGCACTAATAAGCTAGAGTGAGTATTCCAAAATGGTGCTTGCCAGCACCTGTGTCCTCATGGTAAAATAAACTCCCCAATAAATGTCTGCTGCCAGCATCTGTGTCTCTGGGGTGAGTTCCAGCTGTCTCCTGCCTTTCTGAGTGTCTCTCTAATACCAGCAAGTGGATTTGACCCAGGCTCTTTTCAAATTACTGTCTCTGTCCTGGTTTCTCAGAGCATGTGAGATTTTGTGTGTGCCTTTTAAGAACAGAGTGTCAATTTTGTACACCCTTCGGGTTCTCCCAAAAGCAAGCCCTGCTGGCTTTCAAAGCCAGTTGTTCTGACACCTTGTCTTCCTGGTGCAGGACCTCTTGACTGGGAGCCCAATATGGTAACCAGACCCCTCACTTCTTCGGGAGGAAGTCTGCAGTTGTAATTATTTTCCCAGTTGTGGGTCACCTACCCAGAGGTGTGGGTCTTGACTATACCATGTCTCTGCCCCTCCTACCCATCTAGTTGTAGTTCCTTCTTTATTTTTTTTACCATAGCTTTTATTTTTATTTTTTATTTATTTTTTATTTTGTAACATTTTTTATTGAGTTATAATCATTTTGC